CCGAGGGAGGAATAATACCGAGGGAGGAATAATGCCGAGGGAGGAATAATGCCGAGGGAGGAATAATACCGAGGGAGGGTCACCGGACCCAAAACGTCAACTCTGTTTTCTCCTTCACAGATGCTGCCAGACCTGCTGAGCTTTTCCAGCAACTTTGTTTTTATTCATAATACTTTTTATGTTAGGTTCTGGAATGTTCTCAATGAAAAGGTGATGATGCTGATCCCATCAACATTTCGTAGGGAATTTGGTAGGTACTCGAGTTTGAGGGAAAAATGAAAGGGGCCACGCTTATCTCAAAAACAGAAATTGCTGGAGAAACGCAGCGCGTCTCGCCACACCTGAGGAGAGACACAGTTAACATTTTGAGTCAGTTCAGAAGAAAAGTCATCGGATCCGAAACATTAATTCTGTTTCTCTCACCACAGATGCTGCCAGATCCGTTGAGTTTCTCCAGCAACTTCTGTCTTTGTATTAGGTTGCAGCATCCGCAGTTGTTTGTTTAACAGTATGAAGCGTGTCTCAGCTTTTATCGAGCCCTCACGGGCACAATGGGCCAACTAGACTCTTGCTGCTGGGTTGTAATCATTGATGATACAATGAAGTCTTATATTCTCTGTGTCTCCTTCTCTTCCAGACACCGTCACAGTACCAATATGTCCTGAACAAAACTAACCAGGTGTACCTGTGGTGTGCCTTTCTTGACTTCAGGTGAGATTGGTATGCGGACACGCTTAAGATTTGGACCAGCACGGCAGCTCAATGGTTAGCACTGCTCTCTCACAGCACCAGGGACCCAAGTTCGATCCCACCCTTGGGTGACTGTCTGTGTGGAATTTGCACATTCTCCCTGTGGCTGTGTGAGTTTCCTCTGGGTGCTCTGGTTTCCTCCCACAGTCCAAAGATGTGCAGGTTAGGGTGGATTGGTGGTGGGAAATTGTCCCGTAGTGTCCAGGGATGTGTAGGTTGGGTGGGTTAGCCATGGGAAATGCAGGGTAACAGGAAGAAGGTAGAGGGGTGGGTCTGAATGTGATGGTCTGCTTCCACACTGTAGGGATTGTGTAAATTCTGTTCTATTATAACGTCAGGGCTGAAGTCTAAGTCTGATCACTTAAAGAATGGCCTGCATTTCCATAGCACCTATAGCAGTGGACATCCCAAATTGCTTTACAGCCAAAGGAAGATTTTTGAAGTGTAGTTGCTATTGTAATGTAGGAAACGTGGTGGCCAATTATGCACAGCAAGATCCCACAAGCAGCAATACAGTAATGATGAGGTCGTATGTTCTACCGATATTGATTTTAGGGTAAATATTGTCGGGACATCAGGGCGAGCTTCATTGCTGTTCCCTCAGACTGGTGGCTGTGTGGTATTACCCCCCGAGAGGGTTGACAGGTACAGAGTTCAGTCCCTGGCAGTTTGGCACTCCCACAGTGGCACTGCCTGCCTACACCACTGGGCTCGAGTCCCACAGTTAGGTTTGAACCCACTGCCTTCTGATTCAGGCATAAAGTCAAAAACCACACAACACCAGGTTATAGTCCAACTGGTTTATTTGAAATCACAAGCTTTCAGAGCGCTGCCCCTTCGTCAGGTGTACCTCAAAACCTCCTTCATTGACCCAGTGGTTGAAGCATTGACCAAGGGGTAATCAGCACGATTACCCAGCCCTTCAATAGTTTCCAGGTTGTATATGCCCCCCCGCAGCTTACCCTACTCTCATGGAGGTAGGGAGAAGGTTCCTGCACCAGTCTGAGTCACTGAGTTTCTTTAAGCTGTGAATCATTCTGCAAACTGCCCTCTGAACATTTTCCAGTTTCACAGTCTAACCCGTGACCTGTACATTCACAGACTTGTTTGGTTCATGCACCCCAACAGCCTGGTAACTGTAGCTCGAGTTTTGGGGTGGTTGGTGACATTTATCTCTCTCCTTTATCTCTCCACACAGCTCGGGCTCAGCAGTCTGGTCCAACGAAGGCTGCATTCGGATCGGTGGGAACATCTCCTACTCTGTCTGTCTCTGCAACCACCTCACCAACTTTGCCGTCCTCATGCAAGTGGTGCCCTTAGAGGTCAGTGAGCTGGGCTCTCGATCGGAAACCAGTAAACACCTTCCACTGTGAAACAAACAGATCAAACCCGAGTAACCAGAGGCCCTGCCTTGAGACTGTTGCTTTGCAGCTGCGGTGTGCACAGCAGGATCCCACAGGACAACTGAGAAGTTGGGCTAGTTTTGACGGTGCTGGTTGAGGGAGGAATATTCACTGGGATGCTGTGAGTGGTTGTGGGGGTGGGGAGGGGGAGGTGTGGGTAGACATGGGGGTATAGTTTGCACCTGATCTTCCAGGAATGCCGCGGGAATGCCGAGCAGGCAGATGGAGCCATGATCTGTGACTAGCATGAAGTACACATCCTCCTCCCGTACCGCCCCTCACAGTTCAATATACTCATGGGCTCATCAGAAACTCCAGCTGTCCCCCTACACATGAAGTGAAGTTGCCCGAGTGCAGAGAGAGTGAATCCTGTGTTGCAGAAAGGATAGATTGGAGAAGGTGTAGTGTAGATTCCCCAGGCTGATAGAGTTAGGGGCTGTTCAGTTCATTGAGTCCCTGCCTGCTGCCTGTATAGTAGTCTATTCAGTCCTCAAGTGTATCCTAGGACATTCTGGGAAGTTCGAGAAGAAATTGCAGGACCCTAGCGGAGATATTTGAATCATCGACAGCCATGGGTGAGGTGCCAGAAGACTGGAGGGTGGCTAATGTGGTGCCTTCATTTAAGCAAGGTGCTAAGGAAAAGTCAGGGAACTATAGACCAGTGACTGTAGTCACTACACTAACTACCTCGAGGCCCAAGCTAATGCTCTGGGACCACTGGTTCAAATTCCATGACAGCAGCTTATGGAAGAAGGAGTTAGATACATTTCTGAGGGCTAAAGGGATCAAAGGGAATTGGGAAGAAAGTAGGAACTGAGCTGGATGGTCAGCCATGATCATATTGACTGGCGGAGCAGGCTTGGAGGGCCGAATGGCCTACTCCTGCTCCTATTTTCTCTGTTTCTGTGATCTAGTTGTAGTTGCTTAGGGTGATGAAGGGATTTGGTGGAGTAGATGGAAAGAATCTATTTCCTCTGTTGGGGGTGGGTGGAGTGGGGTGGGGTGAGGGGTGAGGGGGAAGATGGGGGTGGGGTGAGGGTTAAGGTGGGGGGGG